AAAAAAAAAAAAAAAAGATACCAAACTCAGAGAAATATGATGGGCAAAATTAAGTCGAACAGATTAGAGACAGACAGACAGACAATGGAATTTGACCTCCATAGTCTAAGAGAAAATAACTTGCTCCTTGGAAGACAAATTTCAGATTACTCCCCAAGGGCAAAACAACAGGTTAATGGCCCAGAAATGCCCTCCCAATTCTTTGGAGAGATTCAATAATGCTTTCATTTTTCAATGGGTTCAGGAAAGTAACTTTTCCTGAAGCTTTTACGTTAGCTACTGACAGCTGACATATGTTGAAATGGGGCCATACCAAACAGTAAAGGACATCTTCTAGTCCAAAAGTGATGTATGGTGAACATGAAAGAAATGAAATACCAGCTACAAATTCCTCACATAATCAAGACCATCACGGGGCAGGGGCCTGGACTTGATGATCTTCGAAGTCCCTTCCAGCCCTAACGTCTATGAAAATCTATGAAATGTGTTAGAACCCTACAGATAGAAAAATAAAATTAAAACTTACTACATGAAATAACTTTAGGGTGATATGAAAAGCAAAAAGTAGAAGGCATGTTGGTCAGATGCAAAGCATAACTGTTGTGTGTTATATATTCAACAGGATGTAGAGCTTATTCTTCATGGTTTGCTGAAATGATGGAATGCAAGAGGTATGAGCCATATTTAATGTAGATTGAGATCAGTAGAAAAGTGTCTATGACTTACTGGTCTTCTGAGTTACCAAGTGTAAAGGTCTGAATATAATGTTAGCAGTTACTAACTTGCAGATAAAAAGCAATGGATGTCAGTAGATGGGATGTTACACAGCTGTACAGGAAACAAAGGAGTAAAATAGGTGAAGAAGATAATGCATACAAGAATTAGTAAGATCTGGTGCTTATTTTCAACCCCACCCTTGTTATAACCACAGTGAAACTTTCCTCTAATTAAAACTGATTAAAATGTGGCTCTTTGTCACATCACCGTAACTCAGTCAACTGATTGCAGTCAATGGGAGACTCCTTACAGCACGGACCCTCATTTATGATATGTCTGTATAGCCTCCAGCAGTGAGCCCTAATTCTGGCTGGTCTTTATGTGCTACCACAATATAAATGTTAAATAAAATATACCAGTAGGATCGCACTGAGATAAGTGCCAGATCTGGCCTGTTTTTTCCACAAGAAAGCTTCACTCTGAGACTGCTACTGGAATTAGAGCCCGCATGTCAGTGCAATGAATTCAGCACTTGCATTTTTCTTCAAAATAAAACAGTTTTATGTTAGGTTACATTACGTTACATCTCCACTTATCCAGACAGACTGGCTGCAGAGTAGGTCCTGTAAGGTACTGAAAGCCTTCCACTCTCCCTGAGCAAATGCATCTCAGTACCATGCAGGACAAAGATCCAAGTGGCATTCATGGCAAAATCCACACAAGCGATACTAGTTACAAAGAAAGAGGCAAAAAACATACACAGAGGTTAATCCCAGCTCATACTGGATTCAATTACAAGATCTGCATTGATACCAATATGCGACTAGGCCTTTAAAAATGTCATCAACTTTGCACAAGCAATACATGACTTACTGCCCAACAACTGTGGGAGTGTGGGGGGTGGGGAATCTAAATCACAGGTAATATCATAATTTTAAGTCTGAACACATATGGAATGAAAAAAGATAGGTATTTTCTAATCTCGAGATAATCATGAATAATTGATATCACTTCACATAGCTAGTGTCTTCAGATGTGTAAACAATACAAGTTTATATGAAATGTGTTTCAATTCATGATTCTATAATGATATATGTTGTTTAAAATTAGAGTTGTAGATTATGAAACTGAATTACAAGACAATGCATTGTAAGTGATATTTTCAACAATCTTTAAATGTCACAAAATAAGATGAATGTTTCCTCCTGCACCTGAAGATGAAGAACTACATGCCTGCTCTTATCAGAAAAGAATTTGCAAGACACTAAAGAAAAGTATCATTATCAATGACAAGACTATGTATTTAAAGCTTATTCTTTCAGGTTTGGGGAAGTGAGAGAATTACTAATAAGAAAGTTATGGACAATCCTGTGTTGCATCATTACTATTGCAACAAAGATAGATTAGAAAATACTGGTGCGTGCCCCTGTAAATTCACTATTAAAAAATTACCACATTTAAATAACTACCTCTTGAATACGTGATAGAACATGTGATGTTGGAAGCCAATAAAAATAACTAGTTATGCTGCTTTAAACAGCCGTAACTAGAAATGTTCACATTTCTTCAAGAACCATATAGATATTATTTTATCTTTAGTTTTACGAAGCAAAAGGAGCCTATCCAACCTTGCAAACCCCATTTAAACTTACACACACACACATGCATTATAAATTGTTATGCACTCCGATAAAATAACACAGCTCAAATAACACCTGCCAATTCGCAATAAATAGATACATAACAGTAATTACGTGCCATATTGTATTGATATGTGAACATTTTTACGTTGACTGGATACCAAGATAAATTTGCTATATTATTTATGCCCTGTTTAATGATGAGTACAATATTTTTTGTGACTTCAAAGCAAAATGGCCTCTTCTAAGCAAGCTTTTTGTTAAGTGATAGCTGTGTCTGTCATCCTCATACTGTAGATCATGTGATTAGTAATCAGTTGGAGATGTACTAGCCCCAAAGGGGGCAAAGAACAATCGGAAAAAGTAGGATTTAGCTTAGACAGATAGCATGGTTTCAAGCTTGCACAGTGCCAAGCACAACTGGGTCCTTGTCCACTATTGATGCTGTTTTGTTTTGCCAGACAGACTATTTTGGATAAGGAAATTTGACCTGAGATCTATTTTTCCAAGGAGTAAAATAAGGGTTTTTAAATCAGCTTATCATTCAGACTTTTAGGGGTCAGTGGGCATGTCTACATGAGGCACCCACTGTGCAGTTGTTACTGTGCAGTCATTTAGTACTTGCATACCAGAGTATTAAATGACTGTGCAGTAACTGGCATTATTGTGTAGTAGTGTCCCAGCACAGCTGCCTAGTGACTCTTGTTGAGCAGTAGCTTGTTACTAATGCACAATAGCTTGTTACTACTGTGCAGCAGCATCACATCATGCCCGGTGACACTACTATGCAGTAGTAACAAGACACCGCACAGTAAGCATCTCATATAGGCACGGCCAGTATTCAGTAGCATTCAAATAATTTAGGTTGAACTAATCAGCATCATCTTATATAATGAATTTTAGCAGCTAAATTTTTAGTAGCTCAATTTTAGCACTGCAATGTAGTCTATAAGGAACTTTACCTGGAAGTGACGAAGTTTACAGACGTTCTGTCAAACAATTAAGGCCCTGAATTTGACAGGCCTTAACACTAAGTACAGATGGTCAAAAAGCCCAAGGCTGAATCAATTCAGTCTTTGCGGGTTAGTCTAAGCTGTCTATATTGAACTGATAGGCAACTGAACAGACACTTACTTTTGATTCTGGAAATGCAGCCACATGTCTGCAATGGCTCAGGCCAGAAGCTGGGGGAGAAGGGGGTGCTAGAGCATGTCTCCCTGCTCTGCTGGAACAGACAATGTGGGTAAAGGCTAGCCTGTCCACCCTGCAAGCAGGGAGGGTTGCAGGGGAGGTGCAAAACATCATGGGATGCTGGGGGACTGTGAATTAACTTGTATCTGGAGGGGATCTGGGACAGAAGTTCGATAAACTGATTTAACTTAAATCAGTTAAGTCTGACATCCATCCAGGTTTATCTTACACCAGTTTCAGCCATTTTGAAAGCCGTTTATACGCACTGAACTTCTGTTGTGTTACAGATTTAAATCGGTTTCAGATCACTTATACCAGTTTATGTGTAATTTCTGTCCTTAGCCTGAAGTAAATGCACAGATGTAGACATTTAACTCTAGACATGTCACTCATTTCCACTGCACTTTGGCTGCATCTGCCATGCTTTACATGCTTGGCCAGCCCTTTTCTAGTGCTCCCACTCATGACTTGTGGGGTCCCAAACTTCTGAGGTATCTTTCCGAAAGAAGCTAAGCAGTGCAGAAGTCATTACATTGGACAAAACTCAAGATCTGGATAATACCCACACTTGACAGCAATGTAACATGCCAACTGGCTGAGCCAGCTCATGAGGTGAATTACTAGGAAAATAGAGGACAAACTAACCAGACTCAAAAGGAAATTATGAAGAAAGAGACTGTCATCTACCACTCACAGTTGAAAAGAGAGAACAGAATGATGCTGGATAAGGAGTTTGAAACTTGCAATGTCAGTCCTCAAAATGAATTCATCCCCTCTTTTATAATGATCTCTAAAGGCCAGGAAGGTGAAAACTGGAGTGTCACTGTTCCCAAATTTACATTTTTCCCTCCTAAATCTGATTTTTTTTCCCACACTCCCACTTGTTTTTGTGCTCAGCACATGTGAAAAGGTAACAACAGTAAATCGATTAAATCCTATAATGCTCAAGAGTTCAAAAAATGACTCTATCTTCTTGTGTTCTTTCCCACCAGAGTGTGCTGTTTAAGGTTCCCAAACTGTTATCTTCCTCCTCTTGCTCTTTGGCAAGCTCCACAAAAACCTAAAAAAGTAGAAAAATGGCATGAGTACCTTATATTCAGCGCAAGGGTATTCAAACTGCAAGAAGCAATGCATCCACTGAAATAGTCATGGCCCCACATCACAAAAGACAGACTTGCTTCAGTACCTGGAACACATGTGCCAACCCTTCAGTACAAGAACTTAAGAACTTTAGGGGCAAGCTCAGCTGAAACCTAAAGAAACCACAAGCTCTGCACTATTCAGGTTGAGAACAAGTCCTAGGTTTGTCCTATCGGCCCAGGCATATGACACCACAAATCACATCAAATATGTCCACTTACTAGAAATACTCTGCAATACTGATTTCTTTTGTTCTAATCATCACTGCTTCTGTCACTTATTTTTGATTTCAGTTTTCTTTCTTCCTTTTTTGAAACTCATGGCAACATTGTTCCTATGTGCTCAACAGATTTTTTGAAAATGATCATTCAAAACTTTTATCCAATATACAGTAAAAGCTTTGTTATCCGGCACTCATGGGGAATGGGGGGTGCCGGCTGACAAAATATGCTGGTTAACTGAGTGGCCTGAACAGGTGTCTTTGCCTGTTTGGGCCACTGCCTCTCCCGCCACGTCCGGGGTGTCACCACCCCTCCTGCCACATAGCTGCCTCTCCTGCAGGCCCTGAGGGACAGGGATGGGGGCCCCACGCAAGGTGCTATGCCCCAGGCCGTTGGAGCTCAGCAGCACAGGCTGCTTTGCCCCAGGCTGTGGGGGCTCAGCGAAACTGGAAATGCCATGGTGGGCACTTCTGGTTTTGCTTTTCCCTTACAAGCCGGCATGCTGGTTAATAGAGCATTCTAGCTTGTAAGGTGCTGGACAGCGCAGCTTTTACTGTAATTATTTTCTACAGGATACAATTTATTTTCATTTATGCAATAACGTGGCCTTTCACATACCTGTTCCAGTGTGGCTTGAGAAAAGCTGTACTCCTCAACATAGAAAGCATGCTTTGCTGTTTAAACAAGTAGAAAAAATACAAGTTTCAGACAGTTATCAAAGACCTGGAAATCAAAGCTGTATTTTAAATATTTACTGCTGACTCCCCTAAGAACACAGAGCAGCTTTCCAGTTATGAATATGCTGTCTAAGACCAACTAGTTCAGCTCTCTGATTACTATCTCCATTTTCCTGTGTGAGAAGAAGGGAAGGGAACCTAGACTAGGAACTAAAATAGAGATGAATAATAATTTCTACCAGCATCATCAGTCCAGTAGCAGTAAGGTAGCCCTTTGGTATAAAGCGTCTACCTGCAGGTTTTTGGAAGCTTTTTAAACTCTAATCATAGAAATAAACTCATAAAAAAATTCACCCATATAGACACCTCACTCTCACTACTGTTCTATTTCTGAGAATCTCTCCCCAACCACTGCTCTTCCTGAAGAAGATTATTTGAGACTTTATAACATCAAGGTACCCAAATCCTTGAGCTTTTCCTTCTTTGCAAGATACAAAGGTCTAAGGGGACCCCAGCATGCAGCCATACTCTCAGTCTTCCTCCCACGAACAGTAAGACACTCTACAGAGAAGCCTGGCTATTTATATTTACCTACAGATTAACAGCATGGTAGGTTTATACCAAATATGTTATAAGGGGGAAAGATTAAAAGGGGAGATTTCTTGGAGTCATGAGCCCTATACATTTTTGAAGACTAACATAATTGAATTTTGGAGAGAGATTGGTGGAGTGGGTGTAGTGGAGTGGGACAGGGAGAATAAAGCTATATGGTATGCAGGATCAGGGAGAATAAAATTAACAGGTTTGTGGTAGATAAAATGATTTACTTGCCTGCCAAATACTTTTCTTACCTTCCTCCAGTTTAGAGAAGGAGTGTGAAAGTGACTGTACATCTTCTTTTGGTATTCTAAATGCTAAAATGGAGGAAAAACTGAAAAACAAGACACAGAATGAGCTTTCCCTTGGCCAAAGATGCTAAAAGTAAAAAACAACTTTTGCATGAATACGCATTTTTTTTAGAAACATGCAAACCAGTTCAGTTTAACCACAGAGTTACCTAGGAAAACAGGGTTTACCACTTTAGATGAGATCATCTAAAATATTCCATCCCTGACAGAAGCCAATACCAGCTGCACCAACCAGGATTTTTTCTAAAACTCCTTCAGTGCTACAGATCCACCCTCCTCAGCACTTGAGATTCAGTCATCTGCTCTATTCTTACTGATCAGAATTTCTCTTTTGTGAGTGAATCCAAATATCTCCCAACTGTCTGGAGTTCTCTCCTTTTTAAAAAGGATTAAATCAAAGTTTTGCTCCTTGAAATACACAGCTGACAGAATTGTTTGAGAACTGTTAAGTTATATCCACATTTTGTAGCCTGGGCATGACTGAAACGTGACAGAAAATTGTTTTCTGCAAGCTTTTGAGCACAAACACCCTACTTCAGGCATAGGGAGACCCTTCTCTGCCTATGCCCTTAGACCAATGTGACTACAACCAACAACCCTAATGAAAAAAATGCATGACTTCATTTCCAAGAACGCCCTCAGTCCCCAAAACTCTATTAACTTTTTTTACGTAGACTTTTAACATGGTATAATCATATATAAATCAAAGATAAAAAATGCAGGATGTATTATTTTTTGTTTTTGAAGCCTGTTGCTGCATTTAGTCAATTTTACCTTTCCTGCCGACTTGCATTTGGGAAGATGTGTAAAATCTGCCTTTGAAGCATCTCCATCTGGTGAACTCCTGCAGTGTCTTTTAATTTCATTTCCAAGAAGTACCCTCTGCCAAATTTACTCTTCAGATGCTGAACTGTACCAATGCACCTACCAGTTTTTTAAAGATAAAAACACTATTATTTATCATGCAAAGAAAGCAGAGCAGTGTTCAATAGTTTTTATGAACTGTGTTTTTTAGCTAGTGGTTTAAGGCAAATGCACATGTGTACAATAACTACATGCATGCTGGCAGAAGTCATGTTTCCTTTCATTTCAAAGAATCAAAATACACACAAATTAGTAGAGTTTATGGTACCTTAACTGCCCTGAGATCAGGATTGCTACTCTATCGCATACAGCATCAGCCTCCTCCATATAATGAGTGGTCAGAATAGCTGCTCTCTCTCTGCCTTTAAACGCTGCTCTTATTGCCCTCCTATAAAAAAAAAAAAGCATAAAAAGTACCTTTCAGGTCACATGTAAATATATTAGTAAAATACTAACACAAAGCCCTTGGAGACCGTTTTTACAGCACAGAACAAAGAGCTAACACATAAGTCTTGGTCTGTACTTTCTGAAACCTTTCAATTATTCTGGATAAAAGACTGTAACATCCATCTTTTGCAGAGACCTGGATATTCACAGGAGCATCACCACCACATTTATTTGCACACCATATGCATGCAAATCAAACATACAGCTTCTTTTGTCTGGGAAGGCAGAACAAACTAGAAGATTTTTCCTTTTAACCAAGACCCATGCCCCAAACTTCAGATTGCCAACTTCTGGGGAAAAGGTGAGCATAGTAATGTGAATAAACAGAGGTAAATACCAGGGACATTTTTGTTTGAATATTAAATTTACTCTATTAAGGCATACTGTGTAGGCATATGGAAACTGTCAGTAGTCTACTACTGAATATTGTCTGTCCTGAAGTGGCGATGGGAAATTCCACACTTTGGAGAAAAAAGTTGGATACTTCTTCTGTGGTGATATTTTTTTTTTAAATGAGGATTGAAACTGGTCATAAAACTGGAATGTCAGAATAAAGTCCTGGAAGAGACCCATTTGTGGGGACCAGGACAATTGCAATGTCCAAACGAGCATACCTTTCTTTTGCGGGCCCATAGAGAAATCAGGACTGTTTGCAGTGCCCTGAACACGTTTAGAACACTTGCAACTCATCATTAAGACAATGTAAATCTTATTTTTCAGAGGGTCAGCTAGCTTCTGCCAGAGCCAGGAAGAATTCCGCCCAATGCAGAAATGTTTTTTTCCAGCTTCCCTTGAGGTATCAGAGATTGGCCACACCTGCACTGGTGAAGCATCTCACTAATATAGTAGAGAGAGTTCTTTTTTTTAAAGACTTGGCTGATGCATCTTGCGCACAAAGCACAGGACCAAACTGATCACCAGTTCTGAATTAGGAAAATCTTTTTGCCCTAGGGCAAGGTAGGAAAAGGCCTGGGAGGAAAGAGGTTTCCTCTGAAATGTAGAGAATGGTCGTTCTGCATAACAAGGTTTTATACATGTGAATGGAAAGAAAAGTAAAATCTTTCCAGTTCAACCAGGATATATTCCAAAATTTACAGTGAAAACAAAGATAGTATTATTATTAGATTATCTGATGATACAGATCACTGTAAAAACACCTATTACAGGTAGGGCAGTGTTACACTCACCACATGTGCTGTTTGGCCTTGGGGTCCATTCCAGTAGATGGCTCATCTAGCAGCGTAATCTGGGGATTACCCAGCATACTTAGTGCAAAACATAACTGAGAGGAAAGAAAGAGAATAGGTTTTTATGACTGTTGAATAGTCTTGCTGAAAATGCTGAATTCAGCTTCTTTTAAAACCTCTTCCATACCTTACGTTTAATTCCCACTCCAAGCTTCTTCGTTGTTTTCTGTAGATGCTCTTTCAAATCTAGAGCACTTGCAATACTGCAAAACATACAGGAGATAATATTAGTAAATCTTATGTACCATTGTGAATGCCCTCTAAATAAACCAGCTTCTAAGAAAAGTTCATAATACCCATTTGTTATACTACTAATCTTCAAAGTAGGACTCATCATAACTTTTGCAAAGCTATCAAAAACTGATTTCTTTCATAATGACAGACCTTTTTGCAAACGGTTTAAAAATAATCTGTTCAAAATAGACTTTTAAAATTATCTTACCTTATTTACTAGGGGTGTGAGAAGTGGGCCCTATTCGATTCGGATTCAGATTAGGCCCAAATTGGGGACAATGATTTGATTTGTTGATTCAGATCACTGTCCCTGATTTGATTTGGCTGAATCCAAATCTGATGATTCGATGCTGATTCAGAGATTTAGACATTCAGACATAGACACAGCTTTAAATGTTTTTTCTATGCACCTTGAGGTACTAGCGCAGCTTTGTGAACACTGCTATGCTAGGGCAGATGTAGCGTCCCATTGGAGCTCAGGAGGGGTCGTGGGCACTCCACGTGCTTGGCGGTGAACCAGGAAGTGGGCCAGAAGTACTTCTGGTCCACTTCCAGGTCTGCTGGGGAGCGCGCTGGGGGGCCCTCTGCACCACCATGGCGTGGCAATTGACCACAGGGGGACCCCAGCTGCCCCCCCTCAGAATCAGGAGGCACCAGTCGCTGAGCCAGAGGACCTGTAAGTGGACCAGAAGTGATTCTGGTCGACTTCCAGGTCTGCGGCCGAGAGTACTGGGGAGCCCCCCATGCTTATGTGGGACGCTCCATGCGCCCCAGCATCACAACACTGATATACTGCCTGCTACCTAGAGGTATGTAGAAAAAACATTTAAAGCTGTGTCTATGTCTGAATTGCTGAATCTTTCTGAATCTATTTGGAGGGGTCCAATTTGATTCGGAGAGATTAAAGGGTCCTCTGATTCGATTTGGACATTTGGCCATAGAATCGGGCTGAATCTCTGCCGAATTGAATCAGGGACTGAAGTTTTGCCCACCCCTATTATTTACATCATCTAGAAACCTATCTCACTTTGATATATTTGACAAAAGGGAAGATGCATATAATTTAATTCATACTAAAAACATGGGGGAAGAAACTGTTTAAGCAAATACTAACGGAAATTATTTATCCACCCTCCCCAATTGACTACTGAAGTGCCTTATCATCTGCAGTCCACTTCACCCTATGAAGAAATGTCACAACATCCCTGTGAAGAAATGTATGGCTGTGTTCCCCATTTTTCAGATGGGAAAAGCTAAACTCAGATTATGGCTGAGACCTACATCCAGATTTAAGCACTTAACTTCCCTCTGAATCAAAGCAGGTGCTTGACTTGGCTAAAGTTACACAAAAGCCAAGAGACAAGGGTTCTGCTTGCCACAAAGTCCCAGAGAAGAACTAACTATCTATACTTTCCGTCTGCCTACACAAACACAGGAGACACTTCTCAGGGATAGTGTATATTACCATCATTATAAACTGACTGATACTTTCTTTGAAAGTGGGAGTTAGAATAATACATTGCCTTTAGACTTGTATAAATGTGAGCATGGTTTGGATTTTCAAGGTGATATAAAGTTTCCCCCACAAAAAAACACCCACCGACAGCAGTGCTAAATTTTTCCCACCCCAAACCATGATACCCTCTTGCTGAAACTGCTTTCCATTAAGTCTGATAGACAAAAACCTTTATGGTTTCATTTTCATGAAAACCTAGAGAAAATAAGGGCGAAAACATAAAAAAGCTCTATTTAATGAACGTTTACCGTCTTATTACTTCTTTCACATCACTTTTACTCATTCCTTTGATAGCTCCATAAATCTCAAAATGCTCCTGCAACGTAACATCTGGCCAAAGTGGATTTATTTGAGGACAGTATCCCACAAATTTAATCAAATCCGCTTCACCGTTCGGTCCAAAAGAATCATCTCCCATCAGCACCTGCAGAGGACAAACCCCCCACAGCCCTTCCTCAATAATATTTTCGCATAAGGTTTGCAAGTGTTCTTATAAAAATGAAGAAAAATATTTAAAGCTGATGGGTCAAGGCAAAAACCCAAACTGAACCAGGTATTAAACCTCATTTGTTGTTTTTATTTAGTTTACAATAATACTATACCTGGCCAGCAGTTGGTTCAACATCTCCAACCAGCATGTTAATCACCGTGCTTTTTCCGGCTCCATTGGGCCCCAACAATCCCAGGATTTCTCCTTAAAAATAAAAATGACACATAAAATATTGCCTGTGAGTTTCAAGAACAAAAGGGAAATGTTTGTTTTTTCCTGAAAAAAAAATAGTAACTAATTTAGCTCAGACCTTTTTTTACACAAAAAGAGACATGCTTAGTTGCGACCTTCTTTATGTTTCTTCTAAGAAGAAAATCTTTCCTTTCGTCATACTCTTTATGCAAACTGCTGACCAAAATTGCTGGCTTCTAATAAAAGCAAAAGACAATGTATTGTTTAATAAGTAACTACTTTTTAAAGAAACATACAACATCAAAATATTTTTGTCACTAGATGAGGATTTACATGGTAAGTATCAAAGAATCTTATCTTATAAAACATAACTCTGGCCCCAAAGAGCAGGTACAATTTCAATTCTGTATGACTGCTCTTCATTTATAGAGGTAAACAGGAATCATCCCCACTGTCTGTATGCACTAGAAAGCCAATCTAAAGGTTTGACTGCAGCTGAACCACATTCAGACACTTTTCATTGTGAAATAGATGCAGAATATGACTCAAAGCTTACACCAAGCACTGTTTTTGAACATTGCACAGCTTGACTCCTCCCCACAAAGTCTGATCTCACTAGGATGTGGCTCTTACTTACAGTGTGAATGTCTATTGTCCCAAAATCTAGAAGCACCAACTACCAGGGCACACAGTTACACTTAAGTTTAAAATTCTAGATTTTGCTGCTCTGACAAAATGGAGTAGAAAAAAATTTAACATACAAGAAATGTGCAGAGAACTAAACCTAAGTGATATTAAATACGTACAGAAAAACAGAACCTTACTCACTTATTTGAATATTTATTACAAAAATATTCATATAGCAAACTGACAAGACAAAGCTACTATCTAGATTTTAGATTTCCATTTATGCATTCATTTCTATAATTTCAAATCTGATATACTTAAATTTGCTGACAATAATGGCAGCCAATTACACACTGCCCTGGTGTAATTCAACCATGATTATAGGATTACCTCCTCACAGTTTTGATTGGTTAGAATTTCTTTGACTCGCAACCTCTCAGCCTTTACATCTTCATCCTCATTTTCATCATGTGGTACCTCTGGAACCTTCCAAATCTTACCCTCTGTGAAATAATTTCTGAAGACATAGGGAAAAATATCAATCTTTACACAGCAACATTAAACGCTTATTTTTTTAAATCACTATTAAGTTACTTCCTAAATGCAGGCTCATAGTTTGAAGTTAATGACCTTTAGGATAGTCATTTTAACATTAAAGAAATTAACAAACCTACATCCCATTACATAGGTGTTAAAATAAAGATGCCAGCCAGTACGTAATAAGCCAGGTTTTATTAAAGAACATCTGTATATTTTAAGCTAATATACTTGTAGCGTGGGAAAAGGACATCTTTGATATATCTTTTGCTATAGGTTACGCTCCCCAATTTAACAAGGGGCAAGACAAGTCTCACAACGGGACTGTAAAGAGACAACAGCTGGGTGTCAGACTACCAAGTGTTGACCCTGAGATGCTGCAGAGTCACTTGGAAGGACTGGATGTGTTTAGGTTGGCAGGCCCGGATGAGCTCCATCCGAGGGTACTGAGGGCACTGGCTGATGTCATTGCACAGCCACTGGCAAGAATATTTGAGCACTCGTGGCGCATGGGACAGGTCGTGGAGAACTAGAAAAGGGCCAATGTGGTCCCTATTTTCAAGAAGGGGAGGAAGGAGGATCCAGGCAACTATAGACTAGTCAGTCTCACCTCCGTCTTTGGCAAAGTCTTTGAAAAGATTATTAAGGCTCATATATGTGACAGCCCAGCAGGAAAAATTATGCTGAGGGGAAACCAGCATGGGTTCATAGCAGACAGATCATGCCTGACTAATCTAGTGTCTTTTTATGACCAGGTTACAAAACACCTGGACACAGGAGTAGGGGTTGATATCGTTTACTTAGACTTCAGGAAGGCCTTCGATACGGTATCCCACCCCATACTGGTGAACAAGTTAAGAGGCTGTGACTTGCATGATTACACAGTCCGGTGGGTGGCAAATTGGCTAGAGGGTC